AGAAAGAAAAAACAAAGAGGGGGTGAAAAACTCATGTTGGGAGGAGGGGCCCCCCCCAAAAAACAGGGCCCTTTTTGGGATACGAAAGGGGAAAACACATTCCTTAAAAAAATCCCGCTTTTTACGGGGGAAAGGCCTTTAGAAAAAAAAAATGAGAAAATGAAAAAAAAGTTTTTAAAAAAAAAAGTTTTCCAAATAAGCTTGACTGGTGTTTACACAGCTTGAATGAATGCAGATAAAATTAACACAGTATTTAATTTGAGGTATTTCTATCCATTCTTGAAGTCATGTTGAATATTATTTTGCCAAAGGTTGTCTGTTTAATCACACAACTTGATGAATTGACAATTGCTTCCCTGAGCTGTCATGCATTGATTCCAGTAGTTTATTTCATTGTACCACGGTTGTTTTGTTTGTGCTGCTTTTATTTTCTGTCTTTCCTCTCACCCGCCACAGGAGAAGGAAAAGGAAGAGGTGTAAACTGTCCTCTTTCCTCCAGTGGCATACGTGTTGCTAGGCAACCACCAGGCCAGAGCACTAGCTAGCTAGAGTCTGTTTAGAGTGAAAGGGAACATCAGCTGTGTGGCCAGTCTGAGCATATTCAGTCAGAGCACAATGGGGATGGTGCACAGGGCTAGGATACATGGACACATTCTATCTACTAGTGTAGGACTGTGACTGTCAGTAGTGTCTGACTACTGACATCCACAGGGTTTCCCATCTCCTATCCCAGGGCTCGCTAAACACAGTTGGAACTGGAACTGGCTGTCAATGTGACAGCCATTTTGAGGAAATCGATCAAATGCCCTGATGGAGTGGACCGCTCCTCTAATATTGGATTGACATCACTTGGAGATCCATCATTTGAGGATGTATCCAAATACACAGACATGTATTTACCATCCAAGGGAGCATATCTGTCCAGATAGGCTACAGATTGATATGGCCTAAAGCAGGAAATGGCCCTGCTATAGTATGGACTCTCTGTGATTGACATCTCACACATACTGTGAATATACAAATTGTTCCGCTGTGAATGAATGTACGTACAACATGTAGCATGCAAAGTATTCTCTATACGTCTGACTGCAGGAGCTGTTCTCTGTTAGTCACTCCTACATCTCCTGCTACTACTGTACTGTATGGATGCGTAAATAATTGCACTCTATTCCCTATATAGTGCACTACTTTTGATCAGGGCCCATATAGGCACTACAGTGCCTTCCAAAAGTATTCATGCCCCTTGACTTATTCCACAATTTGTTGTGTTACAGCCTGAATTCAAAATTGATTTAAAAAAACCTCTACACAATACCCCATGATAATGACATAGTGAAAACATGTTTTTTAAAATGTATTGAAAATAAAATACAGAAATATCTCATTTACATAAGTATTCAAAACTTTGTAGAAGCAACTTTGGCAGCGATTACAGTTGTGAGTCTTTCTGGGTAAGTCTCTAAGAGATATGCACACCTGGATTGTACAATATTTGCACATTATTCTTTTAAAAATTATTCAAGCTCTGTCAAGTCAATCATCGCTAAACAGCCATTTTCAAGCCCATTTAAGTCAAAGCTGTAACTAGGCCACTCGGGAACATTAAATGTAGTCTTGGTAAGCAACTCCAGTATATAATTGGCCTTGTGTTTTAGGTTATTGTCCTGCTTTAAGGTGAATTTATCTCCCAGTGTCTGTTGGAAAGCAGACTGAGCCAGGTTTTCCTCTAGGATTCTGCCTGTGCTTGGCTGTATTTCGTTTATTTTTATCCCAAAAAAACTCCCTAGTCCTTGCTGATGACAATCATACCCATAACATGATAAAACCACCATGCTCGAAAATATGAAGAGTGGTACTCAGTGATGTGTTGTGTTGGATTTGCCCCAAACATAATGCTTTGTATTCAGGACATAAAGTTAATTTCTTTGAAACATTTTTTGCAGTTTTACTTTAGTGCCTTATTGCAAACAGGATGCATTTAGGTTAGTATTGTGGAGTAACTACAATGTTGTTTTTCTCCTATCACAGCTATGTAACTGTTTTAAAGTCACCATTAGCCTCATGGTGAAATCCCTGAGCGGTTTCCTTCCTCTCCCGCAACTGAGTTAGGAAGGACGCCTGTATCGTTGTAGTGACTGGGTGTATTAATTACTTCACCAGGCTCAAAGGGATATATTCAATGTCTGCTTTTTTTTTTTACCCATCTACCAATAGGTGCCCTTTTTTGCGAGGCATTGGATAAACCTCCCTGGTCTTTGTGGTTGAAAGTCACTGCTCGACTGAGGGACTTTACAGATAATTGTATGTGTGAGGTACAGAGATGTAGGTAGTTATTCAAAAATCATGTTTAACACTATTATTGCACACTTGTCCATGCAACTTATTTGACTTGTTAAGCAAATGTTTACTCCTGAACTTTATTTAGGCTTGCCATAACAAAAGGGTTGAATACTTATTAACTCAAGACATTTCAGCTTTTCATTTTAAATTAATTTGTAGGAATTTCTAAAAACACAATTCCACTTTGACATTATGGGGCATTGTGTGTAGGCAAGTGACACAACATCTCAATTTAATCCATTTTAAATTTAGATGTAACATAACAAAATGAGGATAAAGTCAAGGGGTGTGAATACTTTTTGGAGGCATAGGGTGCCATTTGGGATGCAGCCTATGTGTTCTATGTATACCTGTAAGGAGAAGGGTTCTTTTATAACATTTCACATTTTAGTCATTTAGCAGACGCTCTTATCCAGAGCGACTTACAGTAGAGAGTACATACATTTTTGTACTGTTACAACTCACAACCCTGGCGTTGCAAGCACCCTGCTCTACCAACTGAGCCACATGGGACCATACCTGGACTATGACTAAGTCAACAGTGCCAACATCTCTTTAATAAAATGCAGTTGAATAAAATATAGATAAAAACAAACATGACAAGTGGCTGTGACAGACTTGTGTTATGTTGTTGGATGTTTTGTGTTCATTTCTGCTTTGAATGACTGAGATATTTGTTTGCAGAGAAAGCTTTGAAATGCATCAGTGGATATCTGAGCGGCCTGGAGCAATCCAGTACTTCAAGATGATAAATTATATGTTAAATAATTTTTAAAAAGTGCACTTCTACCCTACAATATAATGACATGAGATTCTCTGACCAAGATGGCCATCATTTTAGTAATGTTGCCGGGATGCCAATGTTCATTCTAGTGTTCTATTTAATTCTATGATGCTAGCATTTCCCTCTGCACTTCTTCCTTAAGTCATGATAGTATTGAAGTATTCAAGGATGCATTAGATTGGGGAGAACGGGGTGATACAGCCAAAAGAAAAACTGTCAAATCAAAAACACTCTCTCAAGTCATCGTTTGGAGGTTATTAAGTATTTTATTAACATACATCAGCACTTAGCATGTCACAAAAGATCTTGTGCTTATTTCCAAAACAGAGCATGTGAGAAGCGGATGGAAAAGAGGGAAGATAAATAAAATATATCTTAAATGAAAAGAGCGAGAAGACAAGGAACAGCTAAGCCTTGCTTTGGGGCAAAGAGGGGTAGTAGTAGTATAGTACTAGCAGTAGTAGTAGTCTCCTAGTAGTGTGATCAGAAGAGAATAATAATCACTACCCAGGAGGTTATTAGGGTGAAGAAGTATACATTGAAATCATGTAGAAAGGGTGTCAGTTACTGCTAAAGATGCGGGTTGGTCGGCTCTTACTAAGCATTAGGTGATTCTCATTTACAGAAAAAGGCTGCTAGGGATATGGAATTCCACCACAACTCACATTTCATATCTCTCTTCAAAGAAACTTAATTTAAAAATCTCACAACAAGCCTCAATTCAAAGTGTCATAATCATAATAATAAGGGCCACAATGACAAAGAAGTGTTCGACGTTCATTAGTTGTAGTTCTGTATTTCTAAAAAACAAACACTATTTACAGGACAAAATACTACATTGGTTTATTTTCTTATTGCTTGTTGGTTCCCACTCAGAATTCTGTGGTAAGAGCATAGAGCTATAACAACATATAACTGCTATAGAACTGTTCTATATCTATGGGTAAGAATGCCTGGATTGATTTAGAATCAGATCTAAGGTGTGGAATCTCAGGAATGAAACTCTAACCTTGAACAGTAATGATAATAAACCTCCTGTAGATCAAATAAAGGAAGACTGGTCTATGAGTCATGTGGAGAGGGTTGCATCAATAAGCTAGAACCTGTTTCTAAACCTTAGAGCAATAATACAGAGTAAAACGAGTCTTGATGATCAAAAGCATTTATAAGGGCTACTGGCGAAACTAATCAACTGGATTGTTTCTCATTTAGACTGTTAAGGGTGAAATCAGAACCGAGATAACTGGGTGAGAGAATCTGAGATCTGTGCAAAAACAACACAGAGGTAGTCAACTGTAGAATTCCAAAAGTATACAAAATGGTGCTGAGGCCATCTAGGGGCGTGCATGTGAACTACATCATTTTAAAAGAAGGACAAGGGAAATAAAGACACATGGAAAGCGAAAGGGTGAATTTGTGTCATCTACTGCAAAGAAGGAGGTAGTGTTACAAAGCAGTGACTACTGTAGCAGCTCTAGAACCACCTTAGCACAAGACACACTGTTCCGTTCATAGTGCCACAACGTGTGACGAACGTCCTCATTCCCATCTGAGTGCTCTAGATACAGTCATTGCCTAGTTTTCACTGAAGACGTAACAAAACAAGAGACTACCGCTATTGCCATGATTCAACGATCCTGAATTTCAATTTCTAGAACACTTCTAATAGGTAGAAAAATCATACACATTTTCCCCATGTCAGACTTTCTGCTGGGAGAGTTTTCCAACCAACACAACGATAAGAAGCTACAATAGATATTCCTTTTCAAAGTGACTTGGCACAGCACAAAACAAGTATTTCGTTATACCTCCCTTGTGTGTGTCAGGGTTTTACTATGGTATAGTACAATAGTACTGCTATCCCAGCCTGTAGTCTTTATCTGGTTCCCCCCTCCCCCTCCTCATGGCCCCAAGGCCAAACTGAAACATCAAAGACTACAGGATTACACTAGGCACCACTCCTCTCTGATCCCCTCTCCCTCCCTCCTTTCCACCAGGCACCACTCCCACTTTTATCTACAACGACTGTAGCTACCCAGAATGAGAGAGAATGGATGGGGGATGTGGGTAGTAGATCCCCTAGGCTTCAGTGGAGAGGGCCAGAGCTAGGATGGAGGCAACTCTTGAGCAGTAAGGAGGGTGGAAGGTGGTGCCTGGGTTTGGGGGAGAGAGGACAAAGGGAGGGGGCTGTGGTAGGAATCATTGTGATTGGGCACAATAGGGTTTGCTCTACATTCTAATAGGCTACCTGTCTGGTACAGGGGGTCATAGTCTGCTGTAGAGGACACAGCCGTGCGCAAGAAAGTATTCCCCACTCCCCACTATTTACTCTGCATAGCAAAACAATGAGAAATCAAAGCAATAAATAAAATAAAAACACAAAACCAAGAGCTCATCATCAATCCATTAGCATCTTTAACAATAACTCAAAAACCATTTTGGTGGCTAACATCCTTAAAAAAAAAAAAAAATCTAGAACATTATACAGATTTTTTTATGCAAGACTTGTTATTATTACTTTTTTTAAAATCTGTTTCGTTGTTGATGATGCATTGTTTCTGCTTCCCACCGCCGGACTGGACTACTCCGCCATGGTCTAGTCGCTGTCTTCCATTACAGGGTCTGTGTCCCAGCATGTGATGTCAATCTCTGTACACACGCACAGGGCATAGATAAACATCCATAAATCCACTCGGTCAATGTTTGAAAAAACAAACACACACACACACACGCACAAACTTTAGTATTTTTATCCAGGGTGTCTTACAATATGTCAAATAAGGGGGCAGAAACAACCACATACTGTAACAATCAGCATCATAAGTCAGACTGTCTTCAAAAATAAGCATGACAGCAGTTCTTGAACAAAATAGTAACAACAACAACGTGTTTAGCCAGGCTGGTGATTTTTAAGGTACCACTTGTAAAGGGTTTATAAAGAGTTTATAATGATGTTGTTAATGGTTATTTAATTATTTGTAAATGCACTACAAACCATTAATGAATGGGTTATAACGCATTGGTCAAAATAGTGCGATGTTGACCATTGGTCTGAAAACCAACCTTTTCTGTTCCTGGGACAGAGCACTAATGCATCACAACCAAGAGGGAGAAAAATAACTATTGTTTAACTGTGCAGCCATTGAAAATAAGGTTGCATGATTATACCTAAGGGTTCATATTATAAGTATTTGTAAGTGCATTTGTAAACGGTTAATAAAAGGAGGTAAATATTGGCTCACTTTTTGGCAAGCATTGACTAGTTAATTGCACTATTTAACCCAAAGCAATATAAGTGTTTATTAATGGTTTATAATGCATTTAGAAATGACTAAATAACCCTTAATTACGTAATTATAAACCCTTTAAACACTTTACAAATGGTACCTAATTTTACAGTGTTACTACTTTTTTCATATATTGATGTATTTCCAACAGACTAATCTTCACAGCTTTCAGGCAGAAAGGTTATTTTTATGTTTAATCCTCGCATGACGTGCACTCTCTCTCTCTCTCTCTCTCTCTCTCCCTCTCTCACCTGGTGGCTTGTTATAAAACACTGACGTTGGGGTCATTTTAGCAGAGCACTCCTCCTCCTCCTGCGATTGGCTGAAGTAGCCCTCGCTCGCCTGCACAGACAGACAGGCAGACAGAAACATTAGTTAATAACAGTATTGTCTCTCTGCCTGTAGACATATAGGCACACTATGCTACTGCTGCAGTGTCTTCAGAAAGTATTACAATTTAATTTAATTTAATAGTAATTTTTTTTCAACGATCTACACAAAATACTCTAATGTCAAAGTGGAAGAAAGATTATATGAAAAAAAAAAAGATTAATAGAAAATAAAACACTGATATATCTTAATTAGAAAAGTATTCAACCCCCTGAGTCAATACATGTTAGAATTACTTTGGCAGCGATTACAGATGTGAGTCTTTCTGGGTAAATTTCGAAGAGCTTTGTACACGCGGATTGTACAATATTTGCACATTATTATTTTAAAATTTCTTCAAGCTCTGTCAAGTTGGTTATTGATCATTGCTAAACAGCCATTTTCAAGTCTTTCCATAGAATTTCAAGCCGATTTAAGTCGAAACTAGGCCACTCAGGAACATTCAATGTTGTCTTGGTAAGCAACTCTAGTTGCTTAGCAGACTGTATATTTGGCCTTGTGTTTTAGGTAATTGTCCTGCTGAAAGCTGAATTTGTCTCCAAGTGTCTGTTGGAAAGCAGACTGAACCAGGTTTTCCTCTAGGATTTTGCCTGTCCTTAGCTCTATTCAGTTTCTTTTGATCCTAAAAAACTCACTAGTCCTTGCCGATGACGAGCATACCCATAACATGATGCCACCACCACCATACTTGAAAATTGTACTCAGTGATATGTGTTATGTTGGATTTGCCCCAAACATAACACTTTGTATTCAAGAAAAAAAGTTAATTTCTTAGCAAATTTTTTTGCAGTATTACTTTAGTGTCTTATTGCAAACAGGATGCATGTTTTGGAATATTTTTATTCTGTATAGGCTTCCTTCTTTTCACTCTGTCATTTATGTTGGTATTGGGGTGTAACTACAATGTTGTTGAACCATCCTCAGTTATCTCCTATCACAGCCATGAAACTCTGTAACTGTTTTTAAGTCACCATTGGCCTCATGGTGAAATCCCTGAGCGGTTTCCTTCCTCTCCGGCAACTGCGTTGGGAAGGGCGCCTGCAGCTTTGCAGTGACTGGGTGTATTGATACACCATCCAAAGTGTAATGAATAGCTGCACCATGCTCAAAGGGATATTCATTGTCTGCTTTTTCTTTTTACCCATCTACCAATAGGTGCCCTTCTTTGTGAACCATTGGAAAACCTCCCTGGTCTTTGTGGTTGAATCTCTGTTTGAAATTCACTGCTTGACTGAGGGACATTACAGATAATTCATTGTATGTGTAGGGTACAAATATGGGGTCGTCATTTAAAAATCATGTTAAACACTATTATTGCACACAGAGTGAGTCCATGCAACTTATTATGTGACTTTTTAAGCACATTTTTACTCCTGAACTTATGTAGGCTTGCCATAACAAAAGGGTTGAATATTTATTGACTCAAGATATTTCAGCTTTTCATTTTTAATTAATTTGTAAACAGAATTCCACTTTGACATTATGGGGTATTATGTGTAGATCAGTGACACAAATTCAGGCTGTAACACAACAACGTGGAAAAAGTCAAGGGGTGTGAATACTTTCTGAAGTCACGGTATTTCACCGAGCCACTTTGTCCAAAGAAATACTACATGTACAGTACAATTTGTACCATAGATCATTCAGTACTATACTATCTGTGTATGTGTTGTACATCTTTGTTCCAGATCAGGAACACAGAACAAACTGCCATCCTCTCTCTCCCAGGTAACCAGTGGCACTAACTACTGCTGATGTAGAATGCATTTACTGCCATCTTGTGGCACATAATTTTATACTTATTTTAAGATAAGGAATAATACAATACAGATAGTGCAGACAACATACCTTATTTGTTGTTGTGCAGCTGAGAAATGATATGCTGGTTACCAAAGTATTGGCAAAATGTCAACTTAATGGCATAAGTATAAGAACAACTCCATGCATGTAAAGTGCTGCCAAGTAATTTTGCTCAATATACTGTTATATGAGATAACATGACTACTGCTCCTCTCCTGACCTGAGTCCCTTCTTTGAGCAGCGTCTCCCCGTTGGTCATCAGCTGAGTGTCCTCTGAAGCGTGCTGCAGTGCTTGCTGGTAGCTCATGGTCATATCGTGGGTCCCGGCCACGTCCACTAGGCTGGAGGGCTCATCCTCGACCCCCTCGGAACCCCCCGGGCAGAATGGTACGTCCCCCATCTCGTCGAAGCTCAGCAGGGGCTGGGGTCGCCCTCCAGGGGGTGGGGCCTGAGAGGGGGCGATGCCGGTGGCAGGGCTGCAGTCCCATAGGTCCACCATGGGGTCTGCGGCAGTGGGGGCAGGCAGGGGCCTGAAGCCTGAGAAGGGGTCATAGTCGTCCGGTGCTGAGGACGGGGCTTTGGAGTCTGTGCGGGTCTGGGGTGCCACACTCTGAATGGGCTTGGTGGGGGTGGAGTCCTGGACCGGGCCTGGCTGCTGCTTGGGCTCACCTGGAGGGGAGGAAGGTAGAGAGGGAGGGAGGGGGACTGTTATTGATAACAGTCAAAACTTGTTATCAATAAGCCCTGATAGGACACAAACTGAAACAGTCAAAATATCATCAATATGCCCGGACAAGGTAATTCTAGTCACAATGTTAACAGATAATAAACTCCACTGAAAACATAATTGCAGCAATAGAAAGACCACACTGTTGATTGATGCTCTTACAGTATACCTACAGTCCAATATCTCTTAGGTCCACAACATGACATGAATTATAGCTTTAACTTCAGAGAACACCGCATGGACTCCTACACAGTGATACCCACAGTGTTGTGTTCCTGTTATAGTCATTTGTGTCCAGGTGGTGTACTTTAACACAGTCTACAGTACCACAGTATGTATCAGAGTGCCACTGGGGCCTAGAGACATGAGCAGGGGAAGCCCAGCCATCTGTGAAGGCAAATTAGGCCTGGGAAAATACACACAGTCCCAGGGTGTGTGTGTGTGTGTGTGTGTATGTGTGTGTATGCGTGTCACTGGCGTAGCATACACCACAAGACAGGGGACCCACAAGCTTTGAGGGCCCCCAACCCCCAAATGTTACATTTAATTCAGTTTTAGGGTCCTAAAGCAACTGAGGAAAAACTAAAGTGCTACTGTGTATACCACCTGAATGAAGAAGAAAATGTTATATTTTTGTCAACTCTGTAAAACATCCACTCGGTCAGATTTTTGTCTAACGTCAACTCCGTCAGAGTGCTTAAAGATCTGATAGAATGATTTTATTGGGGATTTTCACATCAATCATTTTCCATATTTTACAAATGTTTGTATTGAACTTTTATTTTTATAGGCAAAAATATGTCTGTTTTGAGTATCTGTTTTGAGTATCTGTTGTTAACTCCGTCAGTGCAACTCACTGTTCTGCAAGATATGCTTAATTTCTTTTAGTATTTGCTGTGCTAGACCTAAGGGATAGGGTTTGCTTTATATATATTTTTAATATATTCAAAAAAAATGCTAACGAAATTAGCCCGGGAGCATTTTATAGTGCTATTAAACAAAATAAAAATACGTTTGTAGATTTGTATTACATATTTGAATAATCTAATGTTAGAATTAAAGCCTTTAAACACTTGTTGGACAATAATTGTAAAAATGAAATGCCTTTTATGGTGTCTAACGGAGTTCACATAAATCCAGTTAGTTGCATTTCCTGAAATGTTTTTAATTAGGAGGTTGTTCCTTTACATGGTGTGATAGCTGATACTTTGGTCTATCAAAATATATATGCGTATGCATGTGTGTGTCATCTGTGTTTGTTTGTCTGGGATAAATGATATCCAACAGAGTAAGGGCGCTCAATGGCTTTCAATGCTAACATTAGCCATGTACAAAGTAGCCTGTAGCAACGTAATCAAACAGAATTCAAGGATTTAAGTCCTCGTAAGGCACCCAGGCTTACCCCAGTATAACCAAACTCTGCCCAGTCTTACCCCACTCATTCCGGCTGTCATCCTCCGCCTCCTGGATGGGTGTGGTGACAATTTGGGGGACGGGCGTTGGGGACATTCCCACACTGTGATCTAAGCTCCCTTCATCATCACCATCTGGAGGAGGAATATCAGACAACACACATCGAGAGGGTACACCAGAACAACTTCAAACCATCACCACCATACATCACCATCACCCAATCATTTCACTCACAATCAAAATGCCACCAAACAATTAAATCACTAACACAATGAAAATACTGTACCACCCAACAATCAAATCACCAAAACATTCAAAATGTTAACAAACACAGACAAAAGGCCACCACAAAATCACATGAACACAATTAAAATAACACCATTGGTCACAATGTTCACAGTCAGGCTAGCCTGAACACTGCATTCAATTTCACACTGATGACAATGGTGTGGTTATTTGTTTTCAGGATTGACTTGAATGGTGCAGCAGCAGCTGTGTCAGAGTATATCTGCTAAAACTCAAATGTAGCTGGGGATGAGATCATGTGACGTATGGGTAACATCACTGGTGATGGTGAAGCATGGGTCCTTTCCATCAGGCATTTGAGCATGTACACTACATGACCAAAAGTATGTGGACACCTGCTCGACGAACATTTCATTCCAAAATCATGGGCATTAATATGGAGTTGGTCCGCCCTTTGCTGCTATAACAGCTGCCACTCTTCTGGGAAGGCTTCCACTAGATGTTGGAACAATGCTGCGGGGACTTCAGCCACAAGAGCATTAGTGAAGTCGGCAGTGATGTTGGGCGATTAGGCCTGGCTCGCAGTCTGCGTTACAATTCATCCCAAAGGTGTTCGGGGGGTTGAGGTCAGGGCTCTGTTCAGGCCAGTCAAGTTCTTCTACACTGATCCCGACAAACCATTTCTGTATGGACCTCGCTTTGTACACGGGGGCATTGTCATGCTGAAACAGGAAAGGGCCTTCCCCAAACTGTTGCCACAAAGAGGTAAGCACAGAATCGTCTAGAATGTAATTGTATGATGTAGTGTTAAGATTTCCCTTCACTGGAACTAAGGGGTCTAGTCGAACCATGAAAAACAGCCCCAGACCATTATTCCTCCTCCACCAAACTTTACAGTTGGCACTACGCATTTGGGCAGGTAGCGTTCTCCTGGCATCCGCCAAACCCAGATTCCTTCATTGGACTGCCAGATGGTGAAGCGTGATTCATCACTCCAGGAAACGCGTTTCCACTGCTCCAGAGTCCAATGGCGGCAAGCTTTACATCACTCCAGCCGACACTTGGCATTGTGCATGGTGATCTTAGGCTTGTGTGCGTGTGGCTGCTCGGCCATGGAAACCCATTTCATGAAGCTCCAGAGGAACAGTTCTTGTGCTGACGTTGCTTCCAGAGGCAGTTTGGAACTCGGTGGTGAGTGTTGCAACCGAAGACAGACAATTTTTACGCTTCAGCAATCGCAGTCCTGTTCTGTGAACTTGTGTGGTCTACCACTTCGCGGCTGAGCCGTTGTTGCTCCTAGACGTTTCCACTTCACAATAACAGCACTTACAGTTGACCGGGGCAGCTCTAGCAGGGCAAATATTTGACGAACTGACTTGTTGGAAAGTTGGCATCCTATGACGGTGCCACGTTGAAAGTCACTGAGCTCTTCAGTAAGGCCATTTTACTGCCAATGTTTGTCTTTGGAGTTTGCATGGCTGTGTGCTCGATTTTATACACCTGTCAGCAACGGGAGTGGCCGAAATAGCCGAATCCACTAATTTGAAGGGGTGCCCACATACTTTTGTATATATAGTGTAGAAGTAACACAGTAGAGCAGTAGCAGCAGTAGTGACAATCTCATGCATGAGCTGCAGCAACAGTTATTCCATATGGGCTATATCAGCTCTCCACTACAATATAGTACATGGACTTCAATAAGTACTGTAGGTAGAAGTTGCCCCTAACCACTGATACAGGATCAGATATCCAATGATTATGGTTAGGAATGGAGGTAAAGTAATCTGATCTGAGATCTGTGGTTAGGGGCATCTTCAGCACCTCAAGCAAAAATACCCTCTGACAAAGATCTTCACAGTGATGCTATTTGTCTTGATTTAAACAGTGAATTCACTTTTGGGAGCAGCAATTCTCTGTGCAGGATTCCTTTTGTTTATCTGTCTTGACTGATTTAATCCTGCCCCAGTATACATTTTGGGTATGTGTAAAGTCCATCAAAAGTTCAAATTAAAATATGCACTTGAGAAGTGCTTTGTGATTCTCTGCTGTCTGTACGTACTTTGCAAAGAATGACCTGGGGGATTTGACCTGAGGAGGGCGCATCTGGATGAGAAACAATGAATATCCACTCAATGAATAAACCCCAGTAAACACACGATAATGACAAACATCACTGTTACTGGGAACAACAGGACATAGAGATGAATGACCCTACGTGGCTGCTCATTATATACAATCGACAGCAGCATCTTGCTTGGGTGGACTTGCCATTTCCTTTCTAATCGAGGCGCCTTTAAATACTAAGAGAAGAGAGGAGGATAGGATATTGCCCCGTCCTCATCAACACTGAACCATTTATAAACACAGTTTCAATTTAAGGGGTCAATATTTCACACACAGAGGTGAAAAGTTCATGATGGTGGTATAGGAATCCATTTTCAGTTAAACTAATTTCATGATTTAGCTGGTGGATGGAACTACTAGGACCTGGTTGGATCTAGTAGGAGCTGGTTAGAACTAGTTGGACCTGGTTGGAACTGGTTAGAACTGGTTGGCCACCCTCACACAGACAGACCACACAACATTAGGAAAAACACAGTACAGTTACAGTACAATTATAGTACAATACTCCACATAGATCAGGGGTAACATCCATATACTGTTTGGCCACACAGGGCCCACAGGGTACACAACACAGTTCCAGGGCAACACAACGGAACGAGCAGCTCGATGACGACGGCACACACACTCACAGGTCATTCGTCAGAAGGTACGCAAGGTGTGTGTGTTGCGGACGGAGCAGAGCGTCGCAGTCCATCAGGAGTAGCATGAGAGAAACGGGGCAGGGATGCGGGAGATGGGGGTAAAGGTGGATACGAAGTAAGATTGCCAAAACAAATAATGGAGCATGGAACCTATGCAGGTTTGGATTATTCTCCTTCATTTCTCCTTCTCTCCTCCAGGTGAAAACCTGCCCTATAGGGTTCACTATGACTTTTTCCCCTAACCATCCTACCCTCACCCCCACAACACTGGATAAAAGATCAGACCGAGAGGTGACCGAGAGGGATAATGGAGTACACATCATTGGCGTGAAGGATGTGGAAGACTGAAGGCGGTTGACAAGATAGTGTGTTAGTAAGTTAGGGTAGTTAGTGTACAGATTCATTTGTGAAAGGAGATATAAGAGGTACTAACTAGTAGGCAGAACTAAGGGCCATGATCAACTCAGCTCTTTGATATAAGCTGCCATCATCAGCAAGACAACTAAAAGCACACTGCACCAGAGTGGGAGTGTAGAGAAAGTGGCCAAACCAGGAGAGTGCTGACTGACTGAGACACAGCCTTTAGTGGAGAACAGGATCTGTCATCACACCGGAAGGGCTTTTAGCACAGGGCACCGTGCGTTTTAGCACACTGCACAGCCACCCATCTCCCACAGACAGTACCAATCTGGAGATATCTAATTCAGGCTCTCCAAGGACTCAAAATAGAATAGAGCACGTCAAGCCCAGGTTAGCTAACAGTAGGTAGCTACAGCTGTGCTCTGAGCTAGCGGGGGGGGTTGTAAGGATGGTGCAGGAGAGGGAGCTGAGTTTGTTACAGCAGCTTCAGGGGATGATTTGGGGTGATGGGGGCGTGTCCTCTACTGTGGTCCTGTGAGGGTGGGTGGGGGCAGAGGGGGGGTCTCTACTTCCTCCCTGCTCCTCCTCCTGTCCAGTACCTACCGGGTGTAGTGGGCTGTAGCCTCGCGTGAGGCGGGGTGCGGAGGGGGGGCGGACTGGGCTCGCTGGGACTGTGCTGCTGCTTCAAAAACGGGCTGTCCAAACGGCCTGGTAACGGGCTGTCCAAACGGCCTGACAAGAGACAGGGCCCAGAGTGACACACACACACACACACACGGAGCGACACACACACACAGCAACGCACACACACATACATACAGACGCAGGGAGGACAGGGAAAGACGAGAGAGGGAGAGTGATAGAGGGGCACAGAGAAAAGAGAGACAGGGGAGAGTAGGAGGAAGACAGGAAGGAGAAAGTCAAGATAAAACGAGGCAAGGCCCAGGAGGATTCCAGGTGAGAAGTGAAGAGTTGTGGGAGAATGGGTATGGTCCCATAGAAACTCATTAGTGAGGAGAGAATAGAAGAAAAGACGCTCAAGGATCCAAAGAACTGAGGGAGACACCGGAGTAAAATTAATTATAAATAATTATAAACAATAAAATTAACTGATGTATGTGTGGATGAATGGAGAGACGGACGACAAGACAAATGGATGCACAACCATGAATCAAATCAAATGATAGAGAGAGGTCAAAGAGATAGAGGTCAAAGAGATAGAGAGGTCAAAGAGATAGAGGTCAAAGAGATAGAGGTCAAAGAGATATAGAGGTCAAAGAGATAGAGAGGTCAAAGAGATAGAGAGGTCAAAGAGATAGAGCTCAAAGAGATAGAGGACAAAGAGATAGAGGTCAAATAGATAGAGCTCAAAGAGATAGAGGTCAAAGAGATAGAGAGGTCAAAGAGATAGAGGTCAAAGAGATAGAGAGGTCAAAGAGATAGAGAGAAAGAGAATAATATAAAGAAGAGGGAGAGTTGTTAGTGTGGTAATGACACTCTGTGGACAAAGCATGCAGTAGTAGAAGCACTGCACCAAGCTCATTAATGATGGAGGAAGGAACATGATTTCAGTTCAGTATGTTAAGATGGAATGAACACAGAGGCTTTCTCCCATGGTGAAAATATCCTGTTGCTTGTAGACAAAAACATATATTGTTTCAGGGAGATTCTTTGGTTGTTTGGGTTTGCAGGTGGAGAGGAGAGTGTGTTGTCTTGTTCAGTATGGAGACCCTCACTCAGTCAGGCACTTGTTCCTGTCTCCATCCACTCCACCTGGCTCCTTGGAGCCACCTGTTATCTGTATCAATGTAGCCTGCAAGGGATTCCTGCTACAGCATCTGTCTCTCTTCTTCCATCTACATCTTCTTCTGTCTTCAACTGGATTACTTCTTATCTTAGTCTGAATTCTACTCCAACTGTTCTCCTGCCTTCCAGATCTCTGTGGTATACCCAGGTGTCTGGGTCCAAAAGGCTCTGTCCACACATACACAGTGATGACAGACACACTGGTGACGTACAGCAGAGTACAGGGACTGAGGCCTGTAACGAGGTGAATGACAGGACAAATGGTGGTCGGGTGACCCAAACTCTCCCTCTCTTCCTCCCTCTGTCCCTCTGCCCCTCCCTCCCTCCATCTCTACCCTCTTCTCCCTCCCTCTCTCTGGTCTTACCGGTCCTGTGGCTAGAGGCAGGGGAGATGTCCACACCAGTGGCCACAGCCTTCTCCTTCTGCTTAAAGAACTCCCTGGGGTTGTCCGCTCGCTGGGCAATGAGGGCTTTCGCCTCCTGTCAACAAACAGACATACAGTACAACGTTAGACACGTAGAGCACACACACACCCACCCACCCACTCACCAACTCACACACACCCACACCACCGTGAGATACTCATCACACATAGGTAATACACTGACACCACAAATGCACACAAGAGCACACACACTCTTTCACACAGCATTTACCTTACACACAGAGAGCCAGAGACAAAAATCCCAGTGTAGCCTGACTAGTCCCACTAACACAGAACCAAAGCCCAAGAGTGCTACTGTCACAATGACACATATATACAGGTCAGGAGTCTGGGCCACACTCTACTTTACTCTCTCAGTCTCAGCCTACTAACACTGGAGAGGCACAGAATCTGATATACAGAGTCGATTTTCTGCATGCAATGAATCCCCCCATTGGGACTGATGGTCTGAAACCCACCTCCACTTCAGACTCCTTCTTCTCCTTCTCCAGGTCCTCATAGCTAGGTTCTGCTGTCTGCAGAGAGAGAGAGAGAGAGAGAGAGAGAGAGAGAGAGAGAGAGAGAGAGAGAGAGAGAGAGAGAGAGAGAGAGAGAGAGAGAGAGAGAGAGAGAGAGAGAGAGAGATGGGTACAAGGGTTCATAGCATGGCAGCCATTACAAAAGCACAGACGTACAAGCTGGCATTTTCAAAGTGTTCTGAAACAAAGTGAGAGTCTTAAAATAACGGTGGCTTTTGTGGAATGGTAAGTATGAGAGAAGTTCAAATATTGTGGGGTCCAATATTTGGAGAATAAATGTTGTTGGATTTTTTAAAACAGGAAAATGAAATAGAACTCTTGATTCATCTTAACCTTTCTCCCCAGACAATATCAATGATGCATGGTGACTAGTCTCAAAATGAGATCCGAAATGCTCTCTAAAAGCAGACTGCCTCTTTCAGTGGTGGGGAGTAACTAAGGCAAGACCCTCTTTGGCATGGAACAGAGAATACACATAATACTCTGGTACCCACACACACACACACACACACACACACACACACACACACACACACACACACACACACACACACACACACACACACACACACACACACTCTCTTACTACAGCATTAACACACACACACTTACTATGAGGGGCTGATTCCGTGTCCTCTCTTTGGCCTCCTCTTCCTCCTGCATCTTCTTTCTGCTCCACACACACAGAGTTACCACATGGACCAAGCACCAGAGTTTACCGTGATACAGCACATTACCCATAAGAACACTACCTGTGTTCCTCGATCTGCCTCTCCCTCTCGCGGTACCTCTTCTCTCTATCCTCCTGCTCTTTCCTTTCCAGCTCCATCCTCTCCTCCTCGAATCGTTGCCTCTCCTCAGCAACCTTCTTCCTCTCCTCCTCCTTTCTCAACTCTTCCTCACGCTGGTACACACAAAGGATAAATATATTTCAATATTTGTTCAATACTTCAATAACCAATTAGTCACAACATTATAAAACATCAATGACTAAAATGCAAAACAGAAAATGTGGCTTTGGTCCTTCTATTGAGCAAAATCAACACAATATAACTTGTAGAGGGCAAAGCCGCCCGCTCACAATGATTCAAATTAAAATAACCTCAAGGACAGAGAGCAGTGGATGTCATCTCTCATTTGAGTCTGTCTCATTGGCTAGTGGCGTTGCTTCTGGAAGACATTGTTTGACTTTGTTTTGATGCTACTCCTACACACTCAAATTGAAACGACTATTCATGCTATCATTCCTAATCTGAGGAAAAGGTAGATTCTGCTCTTCTTGTCTCCAGAGTCCTTGTCCCAGTCAAACCCCCCTCCCTCCTTCCATTCCTCCCTCCTGACGTTAGCGGGAATCATGTTCTTTCCTACCTTGGCTTGTTCCCAAAATTCCTCTCTATTGATCTTCTTCATCTCGATCTCTGCGTTGGTTTTGGTGTACACGGTGCCCTGGACATCCGCCCAATAGGGAAAGAGGAAAGAGGAAAGAGGAAAGGAGAGAGGAAGGGGAAGTGGTTGGTTACAACCATTAGTCATAGAGCCATGACACACACGCGCATACACAGTTCAGGGTCAGCGTCTGCTATAGTACAATTACTGTGCCCTCCAAATCCTATTGCACCCCACCACCCCGTAACCAACAGGGTCAGACTAGACATATAGTGTCATATTTCTGTTCGACACCCGACTAACCTGTACCCCCGCACATTGACTCATTACCGGTACCCCCTGTATATAGCCTCTTTATTGTTATTTTATTGTTACTTTTTATTATTTTTTACTTAAGTTTATTTGGTAACGCTATTTCTTGAACCGCATTGTTGGTTAAGGGCTTGTAAGTAAGCATTTCACGGTAAGGTCTACACCTGTTGTATTCGGCGCATGTGACAAATAAAGTTTGATTTGATTTGAATTACCGTATCCCTTATTGTGCGCCATAGCCTGGATATGATTTATATGAAGTTATATAACTTTAACTTCTATATTATGTATGAAGGGGAGTATCCATTAAGAACAGAGAAAGCACTAAGTGATTTATGATTCAGATACAGAGAGAATAGAACAGCTTGTACCCTTTAGGTGCGGGCTTAAAGATAGATGTTATCCACAGGGTAGCCTGTTCAAAAGTGCCAGTGTGAAATTGTTGGTGTAGAAATTGAATGCTAGAATGGTTGTTATCATTGTAAAACCCTATGACACAATACATTTTGTTAGTCTTGTTAGTTTGTTAATCTACAGTATATATCATTCTTTAAACTCAAGGAATTTACCTCAGCTTAATGTCGTCATGTTTTGGTAGCAATACACTGTAGACGATCTATCAGAATGTAATGTACCTTTAGCGCAGCGGCTAGCCTAACGTCCTGGTTCAGTTGTGTCCAGATACGCAGAGAGAGAATGAGCAAGGAGCCTGCTAGCTGTCCAGCTGAGTGACTCATTCCTTATGGACTCTCTAACACACAGTAAGGCCCATTGTTTAAGTTCCTAAACATTAACAATGCCTCGCTCTCAGAGGCCCGCTCCAACGCTCTTTCTCTCTTTCTCCATCTCTTTCCCCCTCTCTCTCTCCCCCTCTATCTCATCCTCTCCATTAATCTATCTGTGTCTCTCGCTCTCCCTCTCTCTCCCACACTCTCTCCTCTCCTCTAAAACAGTAACATGGCTGTGGCCTTGTGTCACACATCACACTAATAGAGAGCTCTTTCACAGACAACTTGTTTTGACCTCTGTAGTAACGCCCCCTCCTCTCCTGCCAGGCGCCGTCTCACTGTCCCTTTAACCCTTCTCTCAAGGAGGCATTTCTCTATCCCTCCACCTCCCTCTCAGTCATTGTATCCCTTCTCTGGTTCCATCTCTCTACTCCTTCCAATCCTCTCTCTCCATATAGCTCTCCATCTTATCCTCCACCTCACATCCCCTCCATCTCTTCCATCCTCCACCTCTACCCACCCATCCCTCCCCCATCCCTCCATCCTCCCTCTCTCTCGTACCACTCCATGCTCTCCATTCTCCTCCTCTCTGGTTCTCAGCCGGCTGAGGACGGGGCTGGCCACCGAAGCTGTCCCATTTGTCAGTCTCTGTCCAATGGCAGATGGTTCGATGTCCTCCATGGTGCTGGCGTTGATGATGACGTTGACTCCCTGCGGGCAAAAAAAGCAAAACAAGTACCTTCAATGGAAGTATACCTTCCCCCTTTAAATGGCTTGTGTGAGATGGTATCCCACGGTAAAAGGAGCAGGCTCCCAGGGGTTCTGTGGAGGTCATATTTGTGTCAGACTGCAGGGCACATGGGGCACAGGCCTCCTCAGACTACTTTTGATTGGGGCAATGTGCCCAACACACACACATCACTCACTAGCTTTAGAGCCACAGTACACATGGCTGGAAAGAGAAAGGTTGTTATGTCATGTTCAGAGAGGAGAGAGATGGAGGAAGAGAGAGAGGGGCAGACAGATGGCCTAAGAGGATGCAAGAGAGAGAGAGATTAAAAGAGAGCGGGTCGATGGAGAGAAGGAGTCTGTAGAGATATGAGGATGTAAAGATGTAGAGATATAAGGATGTAAAGATGTAGAGATAAGAGGATGTAAAGATACAGAGATATGAGGATGTAAAGATGTAGAGATATAAGGATGTAAAGATGTAGAGATAAGAGGATGTAAAGATACAGAGATATGAGGATGTAAAGATGTAGAGATATGAGGATGTAAAGATATAGAGATATGAGGATGTAAAGATATAGAGATATGAGGATGTAAAGATGTAGAGATATGAGGATGTAAAGATATAGAGATATGTGGATGTAATGATATAGAGATATGAGGATGTACAGATATAGAGATATGAGGATGTAAAGATGTAGAGATATGAGGATGTAAAGATATAGAGATATGTGGATGTAATGATATAGAGATATGAGGATGTACAGAGAGCTAAAGGAGAAATATCTAGCTTATTACTGGGGATAGAAGCTAAAAGGCATTCAAACATCAAAATGATAGTGTTGAATTAATTACAGGATTAATAACATATTTATATTCACCATAGATTACATTCAACCTACACAGCGACACACACTATCAGTTTGCATTAAAGTTTTCCAGTCAAAATGGCTGATCTGTTTGGGAGTGAGAGTGATGCTGTGGGAATCCTGTTCTGTGTGTAGGGATGATCTCTGAGACAGGATAAGCCATACACTGATTCATCTTCAAACACAGAGAAAACAAAGGCACCGGTAGTGTGTGTGTCTGTGTGTGTGTGTGTGTGTGTGTGTGTGTATGTGAGTGTACCTGCCTGCATGTGTGTCGTGTGAGTACGTGCCTGTGTGCATGCATGAGATTGTGTACCTACCTGCCTGTTTGCCTGTGTGTGTACCTGACAAGTGTCTGTGTCTCCCAGCTCAATATTGTCTTTTCAACTAGCTAACCCCACATTAAATTCAAGGCCAGAGCCGACAGTGTGATCAAGCAGATCAGTCTGAATGGCCAGAGAAAAGAGCTGTTATGGAGAAGATGCTTGACACTGGCTGGCTAGAGATTCCTCCAGCTCCATAGCCTTCAGTCAGGAGAAATACTCTGCTCTTTATCTCCATCTCTCTCAATCCCCCCCCCCCCCCCCCCCCCACACACACACCCCACACACACATACACCCCCCACACACACACACCACACACACACACTACACACACACCACACACACCACACACACACAGGAGATACCATTAATAAAAAGCAGAGAGGATTTTCATTCAGCTCGCTACTACCGCCGAGCGCCTTGTTCACAATAGCCATAGAGAGTGCTGTGTTAGTCATACATACATATACACACGTACCTATACACACACACACACACACACACACACTCACACACAGACACAGACACACAGACACACACACACACTACACTACAGTATAGACACATCAGACACCATGCATCATCAGCTGACTGTCAGGTAATGCACGCAGACATGCACACACACACACTATCTCAACTAATCCTGTGGGCAGATCATTGGAATCACTCCTATGCCCAGAGAGCACTGAGGTGAATCTCAATAGGAAGCTAGAAGCTAATGGCTGCTGCTCTGGCTTGGCTGGTAGAGGACAATACTGAGTCTTTCACCCAAATGAATCACTGACATACCCTGAAAGAAAATCTGGGCCAATATTCATAAAACCTCTCAGAGTAGGGAATCAGTTTGGCTTTTTAGATCATAATTAATAAGATAACGGACAGAGGGGAACTGATCAGAGATGAGCACTCTTACTCTGAGATACTTTAAGAATACGGGCCCATAGGGGCAGATAGCATTCATAAGACAACATCAAATATGTATTAATTTAGCTAGTCATCCAGGCTAGTTTTAATAAACAGTAGTTGGGTTTACCTCAGTGAGACTGACCTGGAAAAACTCTGCAATGTTAGCCACATGGCTGGCACACTGACACTTCCTGGCATCAGGCACATCCTCACCAACCTGGGAGAGGAGAGAGGGAGAGAAGAGAGGGAGATGAGAGGGGGAGTGGAGGGAGGTAGAGGAGAGAGGGAGAGAAGAGAGGAAGAGGAGAGGGGGAGTGGAGGAAGGTAGAGGAGAGGGGGAGTGGAGGGAGGTAGAGGAGAGGGGGAGAGAAGAGAGGGAGAGGAGAGGGGGAGTGGAGGAAGGTAGAGGAGAGGGGGAGAGAATAGAGGGAGGGGCGAGAGGGAGAGGAGAGGGGGAGTGGAGGGAGGGAGGGAGGGAGAGGAGAGGGGGAGTGGAGGGAGGGAGGGAGGGAGAGGAGAGAGGGGGAGTGGAGGGAGGGAGGGAGGGAGAGGAGAGAGGGAGAGAAGAGGGCGGGAGGAGACTGTGTTAGAGCTACTGTGTGTTTCTGACTTGAAGAATACAGTTGTAGTGTCATCATCGCCGTCTTCATCATCATCATCATCATCATCAATCAAAGTAACCACATTGAAAGGATTGGATGCACTCTTTGTATTCCATTCAAAATGTTGTCTTTGTGTCCAGATTAACAGTAGTAATTATGAGTGAATGAAGCATTGTGTCTCAACAGGAACATTCCTGGTAGGATTGCATTACCATGGCCTATTCAAAACAACACAATGGCCACTGATTACATGAAAGGAATAGTGGAATAGTAATCAACCATAAAAACACATGGCTACTGAACTGGTACTGCTGCTGCTACAGAATTATAAAATAATACAATAATTGGTCAAATAATACCAAGTCCAGGGCCATTCACCTCCTAGTTAATATATATATGGTATGAGTTAGCTACCCTTTCACAATGTAAAGAGTTTTGATTTGAGGAAAGCACTATCTACTGCAAATTTAAATCATATGATGGTCATTCTGCTGTGTGCTATGGGTCAGTGCAGAGCAGAGTGGTGAGTGGTGCTGTGACAGAGACCAGTAGCCAGAGGGGATGTCTGGGCCTGTCACAACGATAGGCACAGTAAGCCCATTAGACTGTCTCAGACTGCCTCAGCTCCTATTACTCAGAGCTTCACTGGGCTGAGTGGACACACACTGACAGGAGGGAGGGAGGGCTTGGGCCATCAGAGAGAAAGTGTGTGTGACACACACATACAGTATACCTATAGAGGCATACACATATAGTTACACATGTACTGTACACACACATTTATAGACATACATATACTAACACACACATACATGCACACACACACACACACACACACACAGTCTCACCCAGTTGATGAGGACGTAGCGCGGCAGTGCAGCCGTGGGCTCCTTCAGGCTGCAGAAGCCGTACATGACCCGGCCATTATCAAAGGTCACTGTGATCTCTGGTAGACCTCCAGCTAGAGGAGGAGGAGGAGGAGAGGAGGAGGAGGGGAGGAGGAGGGGAAGAGGAGGAGGAGGGGGAGAGGGAGGAGGAGGGGAGGAGGAGGGGGAGAGGAGGAGGAGGGGGAGAGGGAGGAGGAGGAGAGGAGAGGAGGGGAAGAGGAGGAGGAGGGGGAGAGGGAGGAGGAGGAGAGGAGAGAAGGGGGAGGAGGAAGAGGAGGGGGAGAGGAGAGTATGATGGGAGGAAGGGGGAGGAAGGAGGAGGAGAGGAGAGTAGGAAGGGAGGAGGAATAGGAGGAAGGGAGAAAAAACGGATGAGAAGAATGAGAGAGGTACAGTATTTACACAAAAACACATCACTACCACTCGCCAGGCTGACCTGACTGTTACCCCCTGACCCAGTCTCTGCCCTCCTCCACATTTTGTGGCCCAGCTGCAGTCTGGTAGCAAGGCAGGCTTATGTCCACTGAGAATAGGCAACCTCCAGTCAACTGTAACAATGCGCTGTTGAAATATTAAAATCTCATCGATGGTAAAGGTATTGAGACGGAGAGACCGCTGACTGTGGTTGGGTAAAGTAGGAGGGGGACTAGAGTGCAGACACATAAACACACACCTGTGTCCTTCACAGGGTCATGATGACCCCTGAGACAAACGCCCACACTCACACCTGACTGCTTTAATGCGAGTCAACCGAGCTGCCACCAACGCCATCACACACTCACAAACACACTTGAAACCCTATCTGTCCAATCAGAGTCAGGTCTCACTGGTCCAGCCCGCCCATTCCACCTACTCTACACCAATAGGATGACTGATAGGTCTGCCTCACCACAAACATAGGCATGGCAATAAATCATGCTTTGTGTGTGGGATGCTGTGTGTGCATGAGTGTGTATCCCAGAGCTTTTCCAGGTTCCAACCCTCCACTAATAGTGGATCTCACAAGACCAGACCAACCTATCAGCATCTCTCACAGACGATTAACAGAGCAGTGAGAGGAGCAGCAAGTACTGGTATATGAGTTATGGATCACTTGTATTAACAGGCATCATAATCAACTTTGCCTAGCGGTTAAGAGGGTTGGACCAGTAACCGAAAGGTCACTGGTTTAAATCCTCGAGCCGACTAGGTAAAAAATCTGCCGGTGTGCCCTTTAGCAAGGCACTTAAGCCTAATTGCTCCTGTAAATGACTAAAATGTCAAATGTACAAAAATGTAATAATGATTATGCCTTCCTCATTGCATAAGTACAGAGTATCAAATATTTAAGAACAGTTTCATGACTAAATAGGTAGCTAACTTTCTTGCCATAAACATAAGACAAAACCACAAGCCTGGTCCAGTCCAAATATATTTACTCAACATACCAACCATCCAGAAAGACTTCTTCACCAGCTAAGCCTACTTTACTAATTGCATCTTGAGAGAAATACGTATTGGGAACTAAAATCATTCAAGAAGTTCTCAGGCAGTACTGTACCACAATGAGAGGTCAGCAGTCAGACCAGCACATACTCTACATATCAGCTCTTTCTTATCTCAGAACCGAGATTAAAAAGCCTTGCACGCTCACGCTCACGCACGCACGCTCGCACGCACGCACGCACGCACACACACACACACACACACACACACACACACACACACACACACACACACACACACACACACACACACACACACACACACACACACACACACACACACACACACACACACACAGCTTGTAACTGAGCTTGCACAGCAGAAAGGGCTGTCCCTGCAGATTTAGGCAACAGTAATTACATTACAGATATGAGAGATGGAGACTGGGAAGGAGGTAGAGGTACAGGATGCACATAGAGACAGGAGTGGTTTGTAAGGATGTATAGGTATCTGGTACAGTAAGAATTGCCTTCCTAATGGAATAGTTATCATCTTAACAAAACATAATTTCCTTTTCATGCGTTTGTTAACACCAATGGCTGGCTGTCACCATCAATGGAGGCCTCAAAGCAAATAAGTATGCCCTCTACTGCAACATTTCCCCTCCAAACAAAGAGTAATTAATAGTCAATTGCAGGCTCTTTCCCCCCATCTCAATACATGTTATCAAGGCAAGAGGCACAGAGAGTACAGTTTAATCAAATAAACCAGAACAACAATCAATCAATTTTGCTTACCTCCTGATGATGCCAGAGTCAAATCATTGGTGTTGCCCTCATATGAGTACAAGGCCCTGCAGGAGTGAAACACAGAGAGAGAGAGACCGTCAGACATATAGAGACCAGAACAACACAGCATCAAAGCATAACAGCCATACTGTCTTTCACCAGCACTTTCTCCAGTATGATTATATTTAACATTCATTCAGTAGTAACTACATGAGCCAGGGGAGGAAGAGGGAGAGGGCACGGGTTGGAACGCTCTCCACTCAAGGCCAAAACTCTTCACACCAGTTCACAGGGGCTGGTAGCTCCGAGGAGTGGAGAGGAGAGAGAACGGCATCATCTTTTCACTTAGCTGTGTAAGAGGGTAAAGCCTGGAGCGATTAACTAGCTTTAGAAAAAAAATCCCATTTCAATTCACACTGCTGGTTTTACAGCAGTAGATAGATATGTACTCAGGCTAAACTGCCGGTATTATTGTTCCCATTCTGAAGACAATGAGAGGAGATAGAGGCATATCATTATTATCTGAATAGAGCCATGCAGTGAGACTCTATTACCCAGAATTCTACACAAAATGGCTGTGTCTTCACTGTCTAATCCTTTGATTTGTGGGTAATCTCTCTACTACTACTTGTGGCTGGCAGCCACCTCACTCCTTCATCCAAGAGAGAAGGGGGTGGGTGTCAGATAGAGAGAGGCTAGGTGGAGCTGGCTACCATATGCAGAAAGACACAAATAGAGAGAGAGAGATCTGTGTGTGTGTAGGTAGATATGTGCACGTGTGAGACAATAAACAGATTATAAACATGTTTAATTAATGACTGTGGGATTACAGTCTCTCTTCCGCCTGGATTATAGCGAGACCATCGCATACCAACACTCTAGTAATAACACACACACGTACAAATACACATACACATATAGGCAAGGGGTAAATGAAGGTGAGTGGGATTACTGTATACCAGCCAGGCAGCAACAGACATCCTACATTTCCAGATGAATCTGGTTGACCCCTCTCTCTCTCTCTCTCTCTCTCTCTCTCTCTCTCTCTCTCTCTCTCTCTCTCTCTCTCACTCACTCACTCACTCTCTCACTCTCTCTCTCTCTCTCTCCGCTCCATAACTGAGTTTTTCACCTTAATCCTCTCATAGGGCCCCATATAGCTCAGTTGGTAGAGCATGGTGCTTGCAACGCCAGGGTTGTGGGTTCGTTTCCCACGGGGGCCAGTATGAAAAGGGGAGAGGGGAGTTCCTTACTAATTAATGACCTTAATTCATCAATCAAGTACAAGGGAGGAGTGAAAACCCGCAGACACTCGGCCCTCCGTGGAATGAGTTTGACACGTGCCCTAAACCCTAAGCTTAAAACAGCCTTTGTCCTCATGGGGACGTGGGAAATGTCCCCATGAGGGAGAATTTTCCTTGTTTTACTATCCTTGTGGGGACTTTCAGGGATTTTAGGTCCCCACAAGGATAGAAGAACCAACAAACACACACACACACCATCGATCATGATAAAGCACTCCTTCATATTACTGTATAATCATCAGAATCACTTCAGTGCCATAAATCATCTTATATCATACTTAATCATCTAATGAATCATAAACTAAATCAGGTTTTTTTCTGGATCAAAATGGGGCTTAGGTGGTGAGCGTGACAGGGGCGTGGCCAATGGTGCGGTCGCCGACTGCTGGACGCAGTGACAAAATGTAGCTGTTTTAAAGCTAATTTCCTGCAATTCTACACATTTTGCCATGGCTTATGCCATCTGAGTGACTCAAACATCATAACAAAATCAATGGGGGCCCCATGCCATGACAAAAATAACACATGGTGTTACATTTTACTGAATGCTGAACCTTCCCTCTGTTCTTTTCTGCTGAATCAATAAAAATAAAAATAAACGTTTAAACTTCTTCCCCCTGCACTTTTCCCACTTACATTATTGAAGCCATACAAATACTGTTTTAGGATCACTTTTAGCCTGTTGTATTCCTAAGAACTAGGGCTAAACTCTCGTACAGAATGTCAAAGTCTCTGGTGTTTTGTACACCTCCATCCATGCATGTCAATTAGTTCAAATACCAAACAACCTCATCCAAGCCATCTTTCAGTCTCCTTACTTTGTATCAATTTCCGTCCACAGAAGGCAGTTATAGCAGAGCAGGTGTTATCTTCGAGCAGGCCTCACTCTGGCTGGCCTAACATAACCCTCCCCATTAACCCTCTCCTCTCCTCTCCCCACCCCAGCACACCACATCCCAGTGCTGCCCAGGCCAGACCAGCTCCATCAGTAGCTCATCTCCAGTCTGTCTGGGAGACACCCAGCCCAACGAGCTGAGAGGAGACTGGGAGGCAGGGGGACAATGGAGAGAGAGAGAAGGGGAGAGAGGGAGAGAGATAGGGAGCGTAAGAGACAGAGAGCTAGAGATTGAGAGAAAGAGAGAGAGAGAGCGGGGGGGAGAAAGAAAGAGAAAGATAGGGGTGAAAGAGAAGGATAGACATGGAGAGAGAGAAAGAAAGAGAGAGAGAAATTGAGGTAGACAAAGCGAGAGAGAGAATGTGTGAGCTAGAGCAGTTCACGTGTAGCACTATAAATAATTCCCTTTAAAGCAGACTCCTTTTTATTATTCATAAAAGACTGGCTTGACCTAGAAACAGCTCTGCTCTGTGGAGCCTATGTCACTGGGCCTGGCGAGAGAGAGAGAAAGAGAGAGAGAGAGGGAGGGGTGAGAAGGGTGTCCAGATGAGAGACAGGGGGTGTGGATGGTGAAGAGAGAAGGGTAAGGAGATGTAGAGGAAAGGGGAGAGAGAGGGAGGGTATAGGTATGTGAGTGGATGCAGGGGAGGGGGGTGAGGGAGTG